TCCCAAGACATCCTGTGCGCTGGTTAATTTTGCTGGGTTGCTGCCTTGTTTCAGCAGAAGCAGCACCGTGTTGCTCATGTTCATTAGCCTGGTGTGTCTTGGTGAGTCCTGGAAGGGAATGGAGCAAGGGGATGCTAGGGTTGAGATATATCTGCAGAATGAGTGTCCCCACAGCTTAGAGTCCTACTGCCTTGTGGTCGTGGGAGGGAGTTGAAGGCTGAGTCTTAGCCCAGTAAGGGTCTGGCTGGGGCAAAGGGTAGGACATGCTGGTGAGGAGATGGATAATCCATCAGGATATTTCTTTCCAGGATTCTTCATGGTCCAAAGGATTGGGACACAAGTGGGTAAGTCCTTTTCAGAGTCTTGGGTTGCCGTTCACCAACAATTAGTGGATTGTCCTGAAACACGGGGATAGGAGGTGGACGTGTTGACCTTGGGAACAAGGCCATCTTGTAAACTGAAAGCAGGGTCCCTGGGAAACCTGGCACTCGATTCTGTCCTAGAGAACCTCCCCAGCATCTATTCATTGCCTGGGTAGCTCAAAGGGGACACGAGGAAGACTGTGGTGCTCAGATCTGGGGTGTCTGGTGAGGCAACAGTGTCAACTGTAGAGATAAGGAAGGAAACAGTGCTGGGAGCAGCAGGATGGAAACTCACCTTCTTCAGCATTTCCATGATGGTGGGAGCTGTGGTGGCTGCTGTCATTCTGCCAGAAGAGGAGGAGGAGCTATATGCCATGAGCCCCTACATTCCAAAGTATTGTGGCACAGGCTTAATTGTTTATTGTGTTTCCTGCATTTTGCTGTTATTTTATTCACATAGATCTTGCCCTTTATTTCTGGTTCCACATTTTTGTTGTTTTATAAAACAAGGTTTTGCCTTGTTAAAATCTAGTAAGAGTTCCCAGTCAGCACTTGCTCAAAGTTCTCTTCTGGCACAATTGTTACGAGAGGACAAGCTGTGTCTATGCAGTGGTGGGTCCAAGTATCCCTGGGCACCCCAGTGTGGAAAAGAGCTTTAGAAACACGGAAAGGGTCCTCTGCACAGGGAGGGAGGAGCAGCTCCACATCTTCCTCTCGAAGTCTGTGTCTTCTTCTCCTCCAGGTGGTCAGGAAAAGCCCTCCCTGTCTGCCTTGCTGAGCCGTATGGCTCCTCTAGGAGGACACGTGAATCTTCAGTGTCAGTCTCATCGTGGGGTTAGCATGTTCAGACTCTACAAGGAAGATAGGGTCCGACTCCCTGAGCTCCAGGGCAAGATATTCCAAAACAAGCTCTTTATGGGCCCTGTGACCACAGCACATGCAGGAACCTACAGACATCAGGTTTCTACTCTAACTCATCCGCTCTGCGGTTAGCACCCAGCAACCTCCTAGAGATTGTTGTCACGGGTAAGATACTCCTGATCAGCATGGCTTTTCATTGCTTCAACCTGCTGAATCTCAGGGTTTCAGGTGGCAATGCCAGTCAGGGTCCAGTCACAATACTTAGAAGTTCTCCAACTATTTTAGACAAGAGGGCATTGGATGCAGGGAATGAGCACAGTGGTGGGCAAGATAAGTGCTATCAGTTATTCCGTTAATTCAAAATACCCCAAGTCTGTAAATATGTTATGTTATGTTCCAAGGGTGATTAGGATTAAAGATGAAAACAAGGATTTTCATCTGTCGACCTTGAGAAAGAGCAAATATTCTGGAGTGTACAGGTGGGTTCATTGTAATCACAAGGATCCACATGAGAGTGGGGGGAAGCAGAAGAGTGAGAGTCAGAGCAATGCAGCAGGACAGAGACTCTACCAGCTGCTGTGGGCTTTGAAGGTACAGGAAGGGCCATAAGACAAGGAATTCAGGTGACCACTAGAGGCTGGAACTGTTAAGGGAATAGATTCTCCCCCTAGAGTCTCCTGAAGGAGAATAGCCATGCAAACACCTTTATGTATACCAGCGAGACAATATCAGATTTCTGACCCCCAGAACTGTAGGATAGTGTGCTGTTTCCTGCTTCCATGTTTGTGACAATTTGTTACAGCTGCAATTGGAGGCCAATACAGATAGCCATGTCAAGGACAAACTAAGAATAAAAGTAAGAAAACTGGGGGCTACCTGGAGATCAGTAGGGGCGGGGTGCTGATGCAACCTCAAGTTGGGAGGGAGGGGTCTCTGTTGCAGGAACCAGACTCGGGGCCACCTTACAGAATCTGGGACCATGGAGAAGGCACCATCATGGCAGGAGATGCCTCAGAGTCCCCACCAGAAGCAGATTGTGTGGCCATTGGGAAGGACCATGGTACCTACCTTACTGCTTAATTCTTCCCTCCTCCCAGGGACTCCAGTATGTCCAAAAGTGTATGAAGTAGGAGCCTGGATGTGTAGCCTGTGGTGGTCCCTCTTTCACCCTACAATAGAGAGCAGGAAAGATATTGGAGAGAAAAGGATACAACAGCAAAGTGAAGAGGATGATCCCAGTGGAAGTGAAGTCCAGTGCTATAAAAGACAGTGAAACAGAGACAAGGGAGGGAGAAAGATAAAGAAGACCTTCACTAGGGAGGTAGTAGACACAGGAAAAAACATGGAGACACAGAGAGAAAGGAGAGAGACAGACACAGAGATATGAGTCATCTCATTCCAGGTTCTATATAATGGGATCGGAGGGGTTCTTATTTTAAACTCACAACCTCTGTTCTTAGGAGTCTACAGAAAACCCTTCCTGGCTCACCCAGGCTCCCTGGTGAAATCAGGAGGAAGCATCATCCTGCAATGCTTCTCAAAGATAGTGTTTCAGGCCTTCATTCTGCACAAGGAGGGGTTAACTAAGGACCCTTTGTATCTTATTGTGGAGTTGGATCATGAGGGGTCCCCGGCCAACTTCTTCCTGGGTCCTATGACACCTCTCCATGCAGGAATGTACAACTTCTATGGTTCTGTCAGAAATTTCTCTTCTCTTTGGTCAGCTACCAGTGATCCCATGGACATCATGATCACAGGTGAGACCATCCAAATCTGCTCCTCAACCTCTTTGGGTATACAGGCTGTATGTCCCAGGACTTGGAAGCCACAAGTAGTTGTGAGGCGAATTAGCCAGAGATTCTTAGGGAGAGAAACAGACTTGGCGAGGGCTACAGCAACAGAGGCAGAGAGGAGACACAAGTACTGACCACTTGTCATAACATAAAAGACAAATACAGAAGCAATACAGAGAATCAGGAATGAGATGAAATGCAAGGGAGACACACAGAGAGATACATACCAGACAGAGTGTGTACTTACATCCTGAGTTTCTTCAGATATCTGGGGCAGTTTAAAAAATTTGTTTGTGCTTTACCTCAAAGCTCCCTTTTGCTACAAGAAGATCCCAAAGACACACATGCATCTGATCTGAGTTGGGGCCTGTGGCCTGGGGCCATGTGGTACCCACAGATGCTGTGTGTATTCTGACACATCTTCAATCTCTGTGGTTGAGCCATAATTTCTCCCTGGATATCATTGTCCAGGGTGGGAGGAAACACTAGCTCTGTGTACTGTGTGTTCTCTGGTCTCCGACTGTATACTGAGGCACATATTTCAAATTAACCCCAGAGATTATAGACGACTGAGAGTAAGAACCCAGGGGAAAAAAATCAACCCAAGAGAAAGCAGAGGCATCAAAAGCAGAGACTTCAACAAACCCAGAGAGAAAGGGAGTGAGCCAGAAGAAGCGAGTTCAGAGAGTAAGAGGCACACAAAGAGAAAGAAAGAAGTCCAGATGAGTAAAGAGAATGATACGGATAGAAGGGAAGGGCCCTCACAATCAACGAGATGAATGAGGTGCACAAAAGCAGCGAAAGACGGAGCTGTGGGGGTGGATGGCAGGGACTCGACAAGAAAACAAGAGACAGAGAGCAGAGGAAGAGATGAGAAAGAGACAGGTGATAGATGGACAGAGGGAGAGAGAGAGAGAAAGAGAACATTGGGTCATAAGTGTCGAGTGCTCAGGTGTGATGGCCAGTATGACAAGGAAGAGCCGCTCTAACTAAACTGTCTCCTTTTCTGCCAGGACTACACAAGAAACCTTCTCTCTCAGTCCAGCCGGGCCTCAGGGTAAAGACAGGAGAGAATTTGTCCTGCGTGTCCAGGAGCTTCTTTGCCACGTACCATCTATCCAGGGAGGGAGAGGGCCATAAACACAGGCTCCCTGCAGTGTGAAGACAAAATGGACATTTCCAGGCTGACTTTCCTCTGGGCCCTACAACACATGCTATGGCTCTTTCAATGGCTCTCTTTATGATGGTCATATGCAAGTGACCCACTGTACCTGTCTGTCACAGGTGAGGAAACCCCATACCTATTCTTTGTTTTGGGCCTCAGATTAAATCCTAAACTCATATCTAAGGAACATGTTTCTGATGGTGGAGAGAAAAAAGCTTAAGGAAATACAGAGAGAATAAAAGAAAGACTAGTATGAGGCCCGGTGTGGTGGGTCACGCAGTTCGAGAGACAGAAGCAGGAGGATTGCCTGAGCCCACGGGTTAGAGACAAGCCTGGGCAACATGGTGAAACCTCATCCCTACAACAAATCAAAAAATTATCTGGGTGTTGTGGCACATGCCTGTAGTTTCGACTACTTGGAAGACTGAGGCTGAAGGATCATCTGAGCCCGCAGGTCAAGAATGTGGTGGCTGTGAGCATGCCACTGCACTCCAGCCTAAGTGACAGAGGGAGACTCCAAATAAAAGAAAACGGAAAGAAAGAAAGATTGAGCATGAGAGGAGGTATCAGGGTGTAGGACGGCAGACAGAGTACCTCCAAAACCCTCCTTCAGCTCTTGCATGGAGGGCCACACTGTGGGATCTTTGTACCCAGGCAGATACAGAAATGGGTCAGGACTGACTCAAGTGGATGGGAGACTGGGATCAGTGGGGAGAGATCAAAAGTTGCATCGGCTCCGCACCCTTGTTTATTTCCTAGAAGTCCCGCCTGGTCTTCTACCCTTAGAGATATGTCATCACCAGAAACTCCAATTCTTTTCTTTTCTTTTTTTAAATTTTTATTATAAAGATGTGGGGTACATTTCAGGGTTAGGTATATAAACATTGATCACGAAGGTACCCTTGTTGATGAGGTAAGATCCTCCCTCCCCTAGCAGTTTCCCTCAACTGTCAATCCCACCATCCCCTCCCCTGACAGTTTCCCACTACTGCCAATCGCTTTCTTATAGCATTATAATTGTTCAAGGTCCATTTATGATTGAGAACATATGGAACTCTACTCTTTGTTTCTGTGATAAATCACTGAGTCTCATCGCCTCCAATTCCATCCAAGTTGCTGCAAAGTCCATATATTTGTCTTTCTTTATGGCTGCATAATGTTCCATCGTGTATATGAACCGCATTTTTATCCAGTCCAGCTTCGATGGGCAAAATGATTGGTTTCATGTTTTTGCTATTGTGAATAGAGCTGCAACATAAACGAACACGAATAGCTAAAACAATCCTTAGCAAAAGAAACAAAGCAGGAGGTATCACACTTCCAGACTTCAAACTTTACTATAAGGCTACAGTAATCAAAACAGCCTGGTATTGGTACAAGAACAGGCACCTAGACCAATGGAACAGGATAGAGATTCCAGAAGCAAAGCCTCAATTCCTCAACCAACTCATCTTGGACAAAGCCTCCAACAACAACCACGGGGAAGAGAAGAACCTATTTAGTAAATGGTGCTGGGAAAACTGGCTGACCACATGAAGAAGATTGAAACAGGACCCCTACCTATCACCATACACAAAAATTAACTCTAAATGGATCAAAGACTTGAATGTAAAACTGCAAACTATAAGAATCTTAAAAAACGCAGGAGACACCCTTATGAAAATTGGAACTGGGAACCAATTCCTATTCAGAATCCTAAAGGCCAATATCTTAAGAAATAAAATAGACAAGTGGGACCTCATTAAATTAAGGAGCTTCTGCAAAGCAAAAGAAACCATCAAGAGAGCAGAGAGACAGCCCACAGAATGGGAAAATATATTTGCCAACTGTTTATCTGACAAAGGCCTAACATCTAAGATCTACAAGGAACTCAAATGCGCCAATAGGAATTAAAAAAAAAAAACAGTCCCTTTAAAAACTGGGCAAAGCCATGCTCGGTGGCTCAGCCTGTAATCCCACGCCTTTGGGAGGCTGAGGTGAGTGGATTGCCTGAGCCCACGGGTTCGAGACCTGCCTGGGCAGGCGAGACCTCATCTCTACAATAAATAAAAAAAAAATTAGCCGGGTGTGGTAGCACATGCCTGTAATTCCGGGTACTCGGAAGGCTGAGGCGGAAGGGTTGCTGCTG